GATCATCTGAGGATGTAGTTTTTAACAGCATTTTTAGTTTTCTTAGGAAATCAGGTATTATGGGAAGAATATAGTGTTAGGACATCTAATCTATACTCCAGTYTGGAAGGTGGCGGTAATGCACCTATAAGTTGTTTGCCAACCGCCATAAAACAAAAAGAAGAAGAAGAAGAAGAGCTCTACGACCAACAGGTAGAGTCATTTAATCCAGCTGGAGGTTACCAATGAGCAGGAAGCTCCTGTGTTTCCTCTGCAGCTGTTAGCTCTGGGCAATCAGGTCCAATCAGCTGCAGCTGCTCTGAGGAGGATTTAAAGCAGCTCCTGCAGGTTGCAGTCAGTGTCAGCAGCTCTGAGCTTTGTGTTGGTGCAGTCTGTCAGTGGTACCTGCAGCAGGATGAGGTGAGGCAGCTCCAGTGTTTCTGCATGTCCTGACATTAGCTGATCAAACCTTCTGATCTGTTGTTAACATGATGAACTGACTGTTCCTGCAGGGTGGTGTTCATTTCTTTCCTGATGATTGGAAGCATCACCTGCGCTCCTCAATGGCAGCAACAAGGTGAGTGAACAGGAAGTAGGGATGTGGATAATTTTTTTTTAAATCCTACACCAATTTTAAATCTGACACTGGATTCCAAAAGAACATTTCAAACCACACAAAATGACACCAAAATCATGTGATTATCTGAAGTTGGAGGGAAGTTATTGATGWTTGTTTGGGTGAAATCAGCTCATGTTTTCTTGCTGCAGTTCACAGCAGAACCAATGTGTGACCATTTCACCTTCTTTTCTAATTTTGCTCATAACTTCAAATGTTCAAGATAKTGCCATGAAATTTTAGGAAAAGATTCACATTCTGGTTTTATAGGAAGCATCTTGTATCCTAAACTAATAAACTTATTAATAGCCAATTCAAAAGGTATTAAATAACATTACAAGGCAAACTGTAGCATCAAATCAACTTAATGTGTCTTAGAAAGTAAGGAAATTAATAAAACAATTAAAACCATGTGGACATCTGTTTTAATAAAGCTCCTCAACCAATGACGGCGTGTGAAGTGAAGATGAGCATTAAAACACTTTGCAACAAGCACTGTTCCGGATTTAAAAAAAAAAAAAAACATCCTTCGTTTCAAATCATTAATTAAATTAGGAACAAGGGCAGATAAAATAATGTTCTTCGTGGCAGCTTATCTCTTTAAGGGGTCACTAGAAGACTCGGTTATTTACTTTGATCCTCTTTTTAAAAAATTGTCTCTTCAAACCACATCAACAAAAATTAAAAACTCGACAAGACGAGGCTGTAAGCTAACAACCTGACAGCAGCCCGATTTGTTGAAATTTGTATAACGAAGCAGGAGGAAATTACAAGCCAACGCACCGAGCAGCCTTGTAAAATCTGGTCACATCAGTTTGGGAAGAAAATGGCGGCAGCTGCTGATGAAATGTCAACATCCCTACAGGAAGTGATGTGAGCAGGCTGAAGCTGGACCTGATGCTAACTGTGTGTTTGTCCTCAGGCAGTGGAGGTGGACAGCCCTGGTGGTTTGCTTCATCTTCTGGACAAGACCTCTCCAAGCCAAGTGCTGAGGAACCTGCAGCACAGACCAGTGGTTCTGGAGGACACACCAGCTATCCAGTGTACTACAGTGGCACCAACACTGGAGGTGACGGTGGGTCTTACTACGGGCTCCAACAACAGAGCAGTCATCAGGACAGCCAGCATGGGGGTCCAGGCAGCAGCGGTCCTTACCAGTCTACAGAGGAGAGCTGGAGCTCTTCATCTGATACCAGCGATGAAGATGAGCCAGTCTTCACTCCCGTAGAGGACGAGGATCAGGTGTACGCCTTCAAGTCTCGCTCACGCTACAACCGTAAGCGCATGTCCTACAGTCAGTTCCGCTACACCCCAACAGAACCACGGTTCCATGACACAAGACCTCAACCCCAGATTCCAGTGAAAGGAGGGTACTGAGGATGAGCCTCTGTGGAGCTGCTGACTCTAGTCTCTGCCCCTCATGGCTCTATGGTCCAAGATGATGCATAATAAAGATTTTTTTTTCCTTTTAATGAGCTGTTTGAGTTTAAATATGACTGAAGGTCCTTTCAAAGAACTACATATGGCGTTCTAAATGGTCAGATGAAATCTTGAGTCTCCATTGCAAATTCAAATGTTTCACAGACCGGGGAGACTTTCCCATCTCCAGTTTAGCTGGACAAATGAGTGGAGGTGGGAAGCCTGTGACACTTGAACTTTTTTTCTGTTTAAGAAAAACTAAGGTTTCAGTATGATTACAATGGCTTACACAAGTTCAGCTCTAGTGTCATGACAGGTTTTTTGCAAGTGCATATGAAGGCAATGGGCACACTAAGACTGAAATTCCCAAGTTTTTGAAAACTGTAAACCTAATTTCCCGTATATGCTGATTGGGTGTTTAAATATGGTTCATTTCTAGCTTAAAGCTCAGCATTATGTTTAGGC